GATTTTTTATATTTAAAATGAGATGTTTATCCTGTATTTGATTGTGTTTATCTGCAGTTAGTTACACGAATTCAGATATGGGATGAAATCGGATAGGGATGAACGGATTTAAAAGTTTTTAAGAGTTTTAAGAGTTTTAAGAGTTTTTAAGAGTTTTAGCCAAATACTTTATAATATAGTATAGATTATAGATATAGCAGACCAAAATAGAACGAAAATAGGGTTAAATGTGTAAAACGTGTAGAAAGTACATTTTGAATTTCTTTATAATGTAGAGACGTTCCAATCTAATTGGAGATCCTGCTACATCAAAACTTTTGATAACATTGCATAAATGAGATAACATTGCATAAATGAGATAACAAATAATATATGTTAAGAACAAAAATGGGCTAAACCTAACACGATTAACAATCTGAAACTAAACCTAAACCAATTATAATTTGAACATAAAACCAAACAATTAATGGTCGATAAAAAGACCTAAACACATGTAAATTTGGGTCTTAAAATTTTGGGACCTTGTTCAAAATCTCACATTTAACATGCTAAAGGACGACCTTGTTCTAGTGGCTCTCCCCTCTCTTGCCTAAAGAGGTCCCCTTTTCCATGAAGAACGAAAAACTATTCCCTTTTCAAAGCTACGAGAATGTTTTGCTGCTTTTTGTCGTAAAAAATATATTTAAATTCTTTGACATCATAAATTGTTTTATTTAAGAAATATTTTTTTAGCAGAGTAGTTATTTATTATAATGGATAAAGAAAATTTGTTGACAGATCAATCCAACCCAATACGACAAGATTGGACCGAACATCATTTGACTTGTCAGCCAACCCACTTGACCACCTATTTTGCCTATGATTTTCAACTTGATATTATACTATTATTTATTAAAAAAAAACGTTGAGCTGATAATTGCAACTGATCTACTTCATAATGAATCGATTAACTAAAATCGATACAAATTAAACAAACAAATAAGTTTCAGTTGATTGAAAAATATACAGCTTTCAAGATGATGGATTGAATTATATACACACACAATATATTATAAAACATTTGGCAAAAACTTTTAAAAATTATTTTTTATATATGAAATACTGTTTATTGATGCATATTACTTAAAATTCAAGATTACAAGTAATTTTGCATGAGTACAACTTATTAAAGCTCTATTTTTTAATTCTTGTAACTAATTGTAGATAAAAATAATCAAATACATGATAAACATCCATTTTAAATATAAAAAATCTAAAATATAATTAAGATAATCACTGGGTACTAACAAAATGTTTAATTATTATATTTATAAAAAATTATATTATTTAACCAAAAATAAATCACTTTGTTATTAAATCTAAATTAAATTATAATATAAAAAATTGAATTAAAGAAGTTACACAAAAAAACGAAAACTATTAAATAGTTAATTTGATACTAATATCGATTTATTTATTTTCAAAATTTTATGTTATCTTCAAATTTATATTTCATTCAAAATAAAAATATTATCGATTTCTCAAAAACATATAAAATCGTATTATATGATAGAGACCGAATAAAAACTAAACATTAAAATGGAGATTTATCTCGCTATATTACGTAAGTACCATTCTAGTATATATATATGCGCAATGCAGCGAGACATATCTCGATTTTAATATTCTATTTTATTATTTGTCTCTGTTAATGTTATAATACAATTTTGTGTTTTTAAGAAAACAATAATGATTTTATTTTTAAATAAAATATAAATTTGAAAAAAATATATATCAATGTTAATATCAAATAAACTATTTAAAAATTCTCAGTTTTGTATGTAATTTCTTTATTGTAATTTAACTTAAGTTTAATAACGAAATAATTTAATTTTGGTTTAATAATATAACATTTTATAAAGATAATAATTAAGTATTATGTTAGAACTCAATGATTATCCTAATTATATTTTAGATATTTTATATTTAAAATGAGATGTTTATCTTGTATTTGATTGTATTTATCTGCAGTTAGTTACACGAATTCAGATATGAAGCTTTAATAAGTTGTACCTAAGCACAATTTACTTGTAATCTTGACTTTTAAGTAATATGCATTAATAAA